ATTCCACCCGCAGCGAACGGCGTTCCACACGTATTCGCCAAAGCCATCAACCGGTTCATCATTCAACTGGCTCAAATGTAGATAACCCAATGTCTTCTTCATTGCCTGGTGATCTAAGTACTTCTGTCCCAATTAAATGTCCCAAAGAAATCGGAGGACGAAATAATCCTCATCCACCCACCCTCATACCTCCTATGCCGACAACTTCATATTCCTCATCAGAGGACGGCCAACCATTTTCCAATGGAGATGACGATGACGATGAATTTTTCGATACTCACGAAGATGTAGCAGCTTTGGGTTCTGCAATCGGATCTGAGTAAGTGTGAATGAATGAGTGCCTTTCGTCGTATATGGATTTATTGTTTCGTTACATTACGATCTGTGCCGCGATTGTTTTGTCACATTTTGAACTGTATCGAGTGCAAACGTATGAGTTTTCTAGAAAAGATTCCGTTCACTATAATTTGCTATTTTCAATCAACCACTTCGCCTGTCACTTGTAATCGCAAGCAATTAATCTTCGATAATGATTTTGTTTTCTCAATGTTTTCCGCGTCGTTTCGACCTATTGTGTATACCTTTGCGCAGCTCATTTCCAGGACAGCCTCGGCCTATCGAAGACTACTTAGGGTAATGCCGAATAGAAGAAAATGGCTGCAGTTACGGATTCAAATATAAAAACTCCGAACTGCTGTTATGATAACTTTAATCAATTTACCGTCTCTGTCAGTCGTAAAACTCTTTAATACGTGAGTTTTCGATTAAATGGAATGAAATATGTACCTAGTTCATCGTTATCAGTACCTTATATATCACCTTTATCATGTAAAGCTCCCTCACAAGTAACAATCGCGTGAATCCATTGAAGTAAAGTATGTTACTCGCAGAAGAATCAACGAGTAAACAATGTCCTAATCACTCGGACAAACGTGCCTTCTCAAGGTGGCTATGCATGAAGTTGATGTACAGCAGCAGGTGTCATCAGATGCGTTGGCGTTGGCGCAGCCTTGTAGTCCATGTGAGGACTGTTGTGTTGATATAGATATATCCAATAACTAAATCACTGATACATCCTCGGATTACTCTTCTATTCTTTTTCCCATCGGAAGACAAGGCGGTTCCGTCGATGTATTAAAGGTTTCGGAGGGACAGCCAAGCGTAAGTTAATTTCCTGACTCGATTTAACTGTCAGTCCTGTTGAAAGCCGGTGATGGTCAGCTTGGATCTGTCACAGCCGAGCGCTGTATCTCATACATCATATTTGGTATGATTCTCGACTTGTGAAGATATACTTGAATAAACACTCGAAAAACTGCAAACTACCGACCGAGTGACTAATATCGGTTCTCCTCAGCATAATTGTTTTCGATGGCTGCACTCGATCAGATCGTTTTAGTTTTAGTCAACGCACTTGAAACTGTAGGCCTGTGTTGTATTTCTGTTGTGACCCGTTTTCGACTAGATGCTATCTCGATGCGAACAGCCCAAAGCTTAGAGAACACAACCGAGCCACGACGAGTGTATATTATCCGACTGAGGTCGACGATATCCGAAAATACTCGAGCATTAATGTCACAGGTTTACCGAGGTAAAGCTTCCGCTTGGAACGGTCAATCGTGTAGCAGCAACACTAAGAACTCGATACATTCACGTAAACCGGTCAATCGGGCTCCAGCGACGGTGACTTGCATTGAGCGACCAAGAGCCAAAGGCCAGGAGGGATGCTTTGAGTTTCCTAGTAATGACGAGGCGTTTTCTGGATCGTACATGTAATACATAGCATTTTCCATCTCGCCTAAACACTGACATACCCTAAATAGTCTTCAAAACGTTCAAATGTGAACACATCTTTAATTGTGTTCTTCATAACCAACATCATCTCTAAATCCCGCTTTCCGTGGGTCAGGCGGTTCCGTGCCTAACAGTGGCGTCATTAGCTGCAAAGGTAGTGCACTGTCCAAACCATACATCCGCACCTAAATTGGATCATAACCCATTGGCGATTTCGTGTTGCGTTATTCTTTGCAAATAAACCTATTCAACACGTAATCAGTTACGTCGGAAATGACTGAAGTATTCCAAACTTGTAGAAAAGGTTAACTGTGGTAACAGATAAGTGCCTCGCAACGGAATTGCCCCTTTGCACCAGTTTCGAATCGTGTCTGCTACGGTATTAAGTCGTGGGTGTCTGCTATCCTTAATTTTCATGCTGCAAGTCGGGAATATCCTATGGTTGACAGTCTCTTTTGTGGCGATGAATCTTACCTAACTGCCCCAGCGCCGGTTCCCTTATAGACATTTTCAGCGTGGGCCACTGTACGTCGACAGTTGAGCCATTGAAGAAAGTTGCGGCTACATTGGCGGCGGTTGTGTTCAGCAGCGCCTGCCTTCTCTCAGGGCGTTGCTAGAGAGCGACGTTGAATTTTCCTGGAAGATGATTCTTCCGGGGAGCAGCTAGTTGGATCTCGAAGCGGGCGCGTACAAGGGTATGGTTTGTGCCGTTCCCGTTTCCAGTTTCTGCACCGCGGTAGCAACGACAGTCTTCCACCGAGGGGGTCCAGTGAGAACGTATCAAAATGTAATCAATCTGATATGCCGTTGGACCTTTAAGGTCGGCAATTTTCTTGTATTCTTGAAGTCACTCGGGTTCTAGGCTGGCGCCCAATGGTCCAATGGTATCATTGTGGATTATTCCAGATGTGCACACATCCCAGGAAAATCGACTGCGTAATTAACTGGTCCTTGTAGCAAGGATGCACAATGTGATAGACTAAAACAAATGCAATTTTTTGAAGACCGAATTGTGAATCTTTGAAATAGGCTCTCGCCCGAGCTCATATCTTGTGGCATTGTTATCTCCTTCAAACACCGACTAGACCAAATGTGTCCGGATCTGTTCCCGGATGTTTAGTAGGCTGCATCGTAGTTCGAAACAATGCATCATGATGGGGTTACTTTAGTGATAAAGAATCTTCTTTTAGAGACAGTGGACATGGTCCCGTATGAGTCTCCTCGCTGAAGCTTGGTGGCATGACTTAGATGTGTGTCCTACCACCGCCTCTACAGAAAGTCGTCTAGCCGACGCTTGAACGTTTGGTTCTTGTCTTGGCGTCCGCCAATTTTCCCTCTTTCGCCAGACTCTACCTATCATCTTTTGGTAGCTAAACGGCGGACGTTGACCGGTTTACAGTTTATAGTTGATTTTGACAGTGGCACCAGGGGGCATAGTTTCAGACACCAGCGTAATCACAGAAGGCTGCATCTCCGAGCCAGGTGCTTCACTAACAATGATCCCACTGAAATAGACTACCGGAACACGTGGTCAGATGTAGCATGGCAGTGGCATTGAAGATCGCCTTGACTGAGTACTGAGCAGCAGTATACCTAGCAGCGGCCTACCGAAGAGTAAAAAGGTGATGAAACAGGCACCCAATGTAGCTGGGAAGGTTCATGTTCACACGTAGTTGTTTGCTGGAGATAGGTGTTTTATGTTAATTCTGCCTGGTCTCAATAGTCAGGCTGGTGGTTCCATAGCAGCTTGGCCCAGGCCCAGACCGCTGAGTTCTAATGTGTCTGTTTTCAGAATCCTCCAAACTGGAAACGCCCACTGAAGACAGAAGTGAACCCACCATCCAAAAAGGAAACGTCACTGTCTATCGCTAGAATTAACTACGCGCAGTGTTGGAAGCTTCAAACATCAGCCAACAACACAACAATTTGGACGCTCGATTGGCTGGAAGCCACATTTCGTCATATACAGACAAAACTGTTCTGAATCTTAGCTGTCTCGCGGGAATACTGTTGTAGAGCCAATTGATGCACAGTTGCGAGCAGCTCTCTGGAGAATCGTTCAGCTCCCTGCAGGCAGCGCTTGTCATCCCGGTCGATTTGAGGAACATTGAAATCACCCAAGATCAGACGACGACCGGCGCTTGTCAGGCGACTGCTATCATCCAGGATAGCCCCAGAGACTGCCCCGGGTGTTCTGTAGCAAACGCCGATCATCGTGTAGCCATTTCAGCACAGTTTTGTTTTGCACCACAATGCTTCTCTCTGCCCATCAGAATCCGCGTAGCTGTGGAGGTGTGTAACCGGTACACTTTCATGAACAAACAGCAGGACGTCTCCGCCGATTCTTGATTCAACTCGATCCGACCAGAATGACGCGTACCCCACGAGGGAGATTTCCTAATCGAGGATGTTTGGGTTAAGCCACGTTTCGGTAAAGTCGTTTACCGTCGGGGAACGCGCTTATACGAACGCCTTCAACCTGTCTCGCTTGTACAGGACACTACGTACATTGGCGGATATCATGCGGCTGCACCCTTCGGTGTGATGTGTAAGTGCGCCCCCGCGGTTTATACCGGGGACGACTGCCAGGTACGAGCAAGGGGCGCCCCATTGGAAATATGGGCTCCTCCTTTGGACCTGAAAATCCTGAATGAAGAGTTCCGTTTCTCCATTGGCTCGACGCCCACGTAGCTCGGAAAGTGCCTTCTTCAGCTTATCGCGTTCGTCCATGTCGAGATCACGTAATAGCGTAATAGGTTCCTCTACGATGTGACGATCCGCAATGGATGATACAGGTTGCAGAGGAAGAACCAAACCCTTGTGTGTTACTACCCTTTAGGCAGTTGGAGCTTGAGCCAGAACTCGTTCTTCTTTAGGTCCCACTGTACGTCAAGCACCCTTTCCATGTATAGTTGATTTCCATGTTAGTCTTGGAGACTTGCCATCACGACGAGACCGCATCTTGACTTGGTGTGATGGCTTGTGCACCTCTGTGACCCAACGAGCTACACAGAATGGATTTTGTCAAGCCGAAGATCCAATCATGCCTGGAAGGTCGAGGGGTAGAGGTCGGACCAAGTCCAGTTTCCTGGTCCTCCAGTTTGGGGGTTCGACTAGAATTGGCGTTTCATTCGGTGAAAATGGTGGGGCAGTAATTGATCCAAGTGAATGGGCCTCTACTTCGCTTCACCCGCTACCTTGCGGTTAGGTTCTTCTCAGAACTAAAGGATTTCGTTGAGAACCCTAATTGTTCTACTTAATGGCTGGACACCCTAGCAATACCCGTCCATCAAACCCCAGTGCATATACATTGCGAGTTTGGCAGCGAGTAGTGAAGTTCGCTTCCCTGTATTTCGCTGTCTGATGATGATGAGGGTGATATGCCGTACCACCTTCATTTGAAGGCCACTTGATTGTGCTCGCTTGCAGTGTTGTCTTCTTTGTTCAAGTTTATTTCGGGAAATAATTGATTCAACTTAATTAGGTGTTTTCTGGGGTGTTGGACACAGGTGTTGACCACGACCAACCAGTCAAGGTCAGCAAATGTGACTAGGCGTTCGGCATTTTCACAACGTTGATCAAGGCCGAACTTTCCAACAGCATGCTGAGTATGCTCTGCTGATAAACTAGTACATGCATTCCAGTCTCCTACGATAAGGAGAATGTCACATCTCGGACCGTGGTTAATTGTGTTTTGAACTCGATTGTAGATGTCTTTGATCGGCTATTCCGAGGATCTGAATATTTGGTGTAAAAGGACTCCCGTTGTACCTGTGTGGAGTTCGTGCTTTCTACTGTTCACCGTATAAATTGAAAACACGGACTGCACAGTGGTCTGCCTCAAACAAACATTTATTGCTGCCAGTTGAGCAACGGATACCTTCTTGTTTCAGATAGTATACGGTGTTTTTTCCTCATGTAAACACACTGAACAAACATCCAAGTGTTTTGTTCTCATTTATTATGCTCGGGAGAGCAGAGCAGTATGCTACCGAGCGCGTCCCCAGATCGCGGATAAGGGAACGGGCGTCATCTCACGGCCAACCGCGGGCCTCGGCCCTCCGAATAAGCGGTCGCGGGCGATCAGTGGCAGCGCTCGAGGATGTGATGGGTTTACCCCTGGCAAGAGTTCTCCGCACAAAACACCACATATATCTGTGGACAGCACTGTGAAGTGGCGAGTGTGGCCCGCCACTAAATCGAAATCAATTGCTCGACAAGGTTTTCCAGAAGAGGCGAATGAACCAACTACTGGCCACCGGCTCATCAGAAATATCGCTGCTGCCTTGCAGTCCGCGCTTGAATGCACAAAGGCTAGAGTGCACCCTCGAACAAGGCCTGCTCTGGACCGGGCGACCGAGTAGTACAACAGCTCATAACGCCAGAAATGATGAACTCTTTGACTTTCATGTGCATGCAGTCTGCCATTTCCACACCTGCAGATAAACACTCTACACCGTTCACACACTCATGTCCCCCCAGCCCTACCCAATCCTACCTTCACCCTCTTAACTCACCTCCTCTCTCGGGTTCTTCAGGCGATCGTGCAAACACTAGTGCCTCAGATGGAAACTCTGCCGCTGTTCCATCATGTCCTACATCGACTACCGTCCAAGTCTCACCGATTCCTCCACCAGCTGAAGCCCTTCTTCGCCCTCGATGTCCTTTCAAACT